GACGTTTACATTGGCAAGCCCAGTCTGGACAGGCCCATCCAGGCCACCGAGAGGGTCAGCGAGAACACGATGGTGAGCGTTCCCCGCCCCCTGCCCCCCACGCACGGCTGAGCGGAGTGGGGAGGAGGCCAGAGGTGTCCCTGTGGCCTGGGATGAGGGTCTCACGGTCCCCTGCATTCCCTCCTGCAGCGTCCCGTCCACTTCTGGTTTGCCACCGGTGGGGCTGGCTTCTGCATCAGCCGGGGGCTGGCCCTGAAGATGAGCCCGTGGGCCAGGTGGGTGCCCTGGGACACAGGTGAGGCCGCCCTCGGTCCCAAAGACTCCCCCCCCCCCCACCCCCGGCTTGGTTTGGTTTGGTTTGGTTTGGTTCACTTTCCCAGCTGCGGGTGCCCCAACCTCACGTGTGCAGGCAGGCCACGTCACGTTCCCCACCACTGGTCCCCTCCCGCCTGCCAGGCACGAGGGCTGGTGTGAGCACCGGCCCCAGGCACCGTCGGGCGGGACTCCTTTCTGTACCCAGTCGCCCCCGGACTCAGAATTGTCAGGCTGGCGCAGAGGAGGGTGCCGGGCTGGCACGCGAGCCTGTGAGGAACGCAGACGGGGTCTGTACCCTGCTCCACCGGGGCGTGTCCCCCTTCCCTTGGAGCTGGCTTCTTCCTTCTGTGCTGGTGCTGCCTGGCAGGATCCTGCCGGGCTCCCAGTGGGCGGCTGGCTCCTGCCTCGCCTCAGCTCATCCCCTCTCGTCCTCTCCTCCCTGTCTGCAGCAGGGGCCACTTCATGAACACGGCCGAGCGCATCCGCTTGCCGGACGACTGCACCATTGGCTACATCGTGGAGGCCCTCCTGGGGGTGCCCCTCATCCGCAGCGGGCTCTTCCACTCCCACCTGGAGAACCTGCAGCAGGTGCCGGCCTCGGAGCTCCACGAGCAGGTGCGCCACCCGCCGCCCAGCCACGAGCGAAGGGGCAAGCGGGCAGGGGAAGGAAGTGGGGGGAGGAGGGAGCGCTGGGTGGAGTCGGAAGTCGGGAAGGGCCGCCGCTGGGATACCCAAACCCCCCACCGGCGGGACCCTGCTCACATCCCGTGCGACACTCCCACTCTGTGCCGTCTGGGGCTTTTCCTGCACCAGCAGACGACTCTGCTGGCCCTCGCCGAAGTCCCCGCCCTGGACCTCACTCCCGGCTCGTGCAGAGCAGGTGGGGTGGGTGCAGCGTGACTCACAGACCTTCCTTCTTGGTCCGGGGGAGGCCAGAAGGCGAGGCTGTCCTGGCGCCCCGAACCGCAACGGCCGGCTGTGGACAAAGCCGGGGGCGCGGGGGCAGCTCCCAGCTTCACTCTGCCCCTCCCCGCACAGGTGACCCTCAGCTACGGCATGTTTGAAAATAAGCGGAACGCCATCCACGTGAAGGGGCCCTTCTCCGTGGAGGCCGACCCGTCCAGGTGAGGAAACTGAGGCCCAGAGAGAGAGGTGGTGACCTATGTAGGGTCCCCTAGGGCGTCTGCCAGAGCGGGTGTGGTTGAGCGGCTTGACTACCAAGAGGGCGCCTCGACGCCCTGCTCATGCCGCGGGGCCCCTCCTGGTGCGGCGGGTCGGACGATGGGTGCTCGGCCCGCCCTCCCCGCACGGACCGGCCCCCTGCTCTGTCCCCACAGGTTCCGCTCCATCCACTGCCACCTGTACCCAGACACGCCCTGGTGTCCTCACACCAGCATCTTCTAGCCGCCACGGCTGAGACCCCGTCCTCGGGCGCCCCTGGTATCCAAAGGGCCCGGGGACCCGTGTTGTGCCGCCCTGGCCTTGGCGTTCGAGGCTCCCCGGGGCTGTGCCTACGTCTGTGTGTGTGCCGTGCGCCGGTCCGTGGAGCAGACTGCTGGGCGGTCCTGTTCTGCCAGGGAGCGGGCAAAAGGGCCACTTGTCTGCGTTCCCACGTGCCTCGGGTCAGCGGGCTCCAGAGCCCCATCCCGGAAGCACGTGCCTGCATCGGAGGTCGCTCTGAGGGCAGTTTTCTTACCATCTCGGAGTCTTAGGGCAACATGGGGATCGGGGGCTGCTCTGCGTGGACCTGCAGGCTCTGTGCTGGGGCACCTGCGCCCTGAGATCCTGGCCCCTCCTCGGAGCCCCCGGGACAATTGAGTGTGGCTCAGTGCAGGGAAGCCGGGTTCTGTAGGGGGCGTCCCGAGCCCCCTTCTCCCACTGAGCTCTGGCCCAGGCACGGGGAAGCAGAGAAACAGCACCTGGGTCCAGCCCCTCCTGTTAAGCTCCTAGGGGCCGTGTGGCTAGGGGAACAGTGGCTCCCCTCCCGGCCGTCCTGGGTGGGGAGTCTCTCCAGCCCTCTCTGGTGTCTTCTCTTTGTCTCTTCCCGCGATGGGGAGACAGAGCTGAGCATTTTATCTCCTCTTTGAAGCAGAGAGAAAGTCGCCCATAGTGGGTGTGTCTGTAAATATTGTGACAGTATTTTTTTACTGTGCTGGTTTCTCATAAGGGGGTGGGTAAAAAGTAGGGTGTTTTGTCGTTTTTTCTTGGGGGGGGCAGGTGTTATTTTATCTTTTCTGTGGATCAGAAAATGCAGAAGCCAAACGTGAGATATCTTTGTCGTTAAAGCCGATGGAAATGTCTAACACTGCACGTATTTATATGTCCCGGGCTCTGGACTCTCCTCCCCCACCTCGTGCATAGTACCTGTCTCCCGCAGGCCCAGCTTGGTGCACCTGGCCCGTGGGATGTGTTTTGTCTTCTGTTTTTCCTTCTGCAAAGACATAGGTAGGAAAGCGACAGATAATGGGAAAGTTCTCAGGGAATTGAAGGGTGGTTGCTATGGTGACGTCCTTTGCTGTGAATAAAAGTGCTCTTTGGGGCAACCCCAGGGGTCCTGGTTTTGCTGGAAGTTGGGCCTGAGGTGCAGGTCTGTCTGAGGTGGTTCCAGGGGACTGGGGGCTCAGGTACTCATGTGGGGGCGGCTGGATCCACAGGTCTCATCCAGAGGAGCAGCCCTAAGGCTTTGCAGCTGCAGCCTGTGTTGGCCTGGCTCTAGGGGCTGCAGGGAGCCCAGCCCTCCCTGCAGGAGGGCTGGGGGCTTGTTGTGGCCCAGCTCGGACCTCCCTATCTGGCTTCATCCCCATCACAAACCCAGAGACCACGTCCTTGTCCCATTTTGCAGATGGGCGAATTAAGGCTCAGAGCCAGTGACAGCCAAGGTTAGGTAACTGCACTGGGCCGGCAGGGTGGTAGAGACCTCAAACTCAGAGGCCTGGTGGGCCTTGGATCCCGGCCTCCCCTTGTGCCGGGCACCCCACACTCGATGATCTGGGAGCTGGGCCCCCCCATGCCACCCGGACAGGCCGCAGGAGGCTGGGCCAGGATGTCCCCGGGCCTTGTTTCCTACAACAACCAGCTCCCCGATGACCACTGCCCTTTCTTCCTCAAATCCAGTGGAGGGTGGCAGGAGTAGGCAGGGGCTGGTCCAGCCTCAGCTGCGGCTTCCCTCCCCAGTCCCCAGCAGCCTGGGGACGCCCTCACGCCCTCTTCCTCTTGCTGAGCCCCAGCTGCCTCCGCCCCTCGACTCCAGTTCCCAGACCTCCATGCTCCCCACTCTGCTCCAAGCTTCGCCTTCTCAACACAGCAGAATAAAAGGCGTTTGCAAAGTGCTTCTTTTCCCCACCGCTGACCTGCCGGGGGCGGATGCCAGTCCTGTCCCCACTGGACACATGCCCACATACACAGCACCCCCAAATGGAGGGGGTGGCCGGGGAGGTCCCCGTTTCTCACGACCCCCTTGCTGGTGGCTACTCTGGCCCGGAGGCGCCTGGCCGGGGCCTGACCCCACCTTGCCCTGGCATTGGGGATCAGCCTCCCCTGAGCTGGCGGGGCCCCAGGGCATGGGTGTGTCTGTGCAGCCGCTGTGGGGGCAGGCGGAGCCTGCCACAGAGCTGGTCCAGGCCCTCCCTGAGCCTTGGCCTTCATCTGAGACCGGGGAGCCCCCGTGCTCTGGGTCTGGGAGGTGGCGCAGAGGGCACGGCCCGGGCCTTCCCTCTTCTCGGGGAGAAGCTGAGGGAGGAGGAAGTTCTTGCTCCCCAGAAGGGGAAGCGGGTCTGGGAGGGGGCCTTACAGGAACCGGCAGCCTGATTTCTTCCACGTGCAGCCCTCCTGGGTGTGGGGAAGGGGCCTTCCCCCAAGGAAGGAGTCAGGGAGCGGAGGAGATAACCTGGGTGGCCTGCCTGGCCAGGCTAGTTACCCCCCCCGCCCCCGCACCTCCTGAAGTGCCCGTCATTTGTGGGCTTTCAGAATCCGAAGTAAAACTGCCACCCCCGTACTCCCCACCCCCACCCCCTCCGGCTTCCGCGCTTCCGCGCTGCCAGGCGGCGGCAAGCCCTGAGCCGGGTCTGGGAGGAGCCGAGAGGGGGTGCGGGTGGGGCCCCTCCCTGCTCAGTTTAAACAAACTTCCCTTCACCTGGGGCCATCACGGCCAACTTCCCAAAGAGACGCGTGAGAGCTGTGGTCAGGTGCTGGAGACGGAAGGCCTTGCAGAGGTGCGGTGGGGAGAGCAGGCGGTCTGGGTCTCGCACAGCCTGGGCAGAGGTGCGGAGGCAGGACTGACCAGGATGCCTGGAACCTGGGAGGGAGGATGGCAGGGGGCTGGGTCTCCGCGGCCCTCCCCACGCCCTTCCCCACGCGCCTGCAGGCCACCGGGGCTCACCCTGAGGCTCCCTTCCTTGCTGGCAGCTTCGGCCAGTCCCGCCCTCTCTGGGCCTGGGGTGGGTGGGGGGCGGGTGGGGGGCAGAGGGGAATGACCAGAGCCAGCCCCGTTCTTTGTCAGACCTGCCAGTCTTGCCGCTGCCTCAGGCCCTTCCGCCCACCCCCAGCCCCGGCCTTGCCAAGCCCTTTCTGAGCCCAGGGCAGGACACAGACACTTGGTACATCACTAGGAGGGACCCAGGGACCTGGGGCAGCTCCTGTCTCACCCCTGGAGGTGGTCCAGCTTACGTGAGGGTACTGGGTGGGGAGTGCAGAGCTGTGGCTGCCCCCCACCCCCGGGCACATGCCCCTTAGGAGCCCTGCCCAGGCTTCTGGGACCCCCCCCCCCCCAATCTGTGTGCAGCCCACCTCAGTCCCTGGGTGCCAGCGCTGGTGGTGAGCGCTGGGGGTTTCTCTCCCTGCCCAAATTGACCTTTCCCAGGACCCACCAGCATCCCGGTGCACAGCCCCGTCCTGGCCCTTAGAAGCTCACAGCACGAAGCTGACCGTTGTTACTGATATCTGGTTTACGTAATTGTGTAAGGGCAAGAAGCAAGCTTAAGCAGCTGCTGCAGGTCACTCCTGCTGCCGTCCTGTCCCCTGGGTCTGACACGGGGCTGGCCACCGCATGTCCTCGTGGCTCGTCCCGGTGGGACCTGTGGGCCCTCCACTCAGCAGAGCCCCAGGGAGCCTCAGACAAGCAGCGGGCCCGTGAGGGGAAATTGCTGGGAATGCAGAATGTCCCGGGCTCCCGCCCTGCGGCTCGGGTCCCTCGAGGGCCCGGCGCCCCCTGGTGGGCATCTGCCTCACTCCTGGAGATGCTCTCCCCACTTAGACCCTTCTCGATCAAGGGATCAGGACACCTGCTGTCCCCGCCCTCTGCGGGTGTCCCCTCATTCCTGGAAATGTGGGCTCCTGGCTCACAGGCTAGCTCTCCTGTCCTGGCTCCTGCGTCCGCTCCCGGTTACTTCCGTGTCCGTGATCCTTCCCATGCCCTTGGCCTCCCCTCCCCTCCCCCTGCATCCCCACTGCATGGTCACTCACTCCCCAGACCGTGCCTGCCCCACGACCGCACTCTGCCTCCACCTGCTGCCTGTCCCTCTGCTCAGTCGCTCCGGCCCTCCTGAACCCCCACCCCCCTCACACCTCACAGGCTTGTCCTCTACTGGCTGGAGGCCCAGGTCCAGGCACACCTTTGAACTCACCTTCACCTCCCTTGGCTTCTTGTTTTCACACCCTCTCCCAGCCAGGCCTCTAGCGGCCACCCTCCTGCAGCCTGTGTCCCCGCACCTGGGCAGCTCCCCGAACTCTGGGGAGTCTCACCCTGAGTTCCAGATGGAGCCTTGGCTCCCTGGGAAACCCCCTGCCCCGACTTCGCCCCTGCCTGCTCTCCGGCTCTCCTACTTCTCCCCGCCCCCGGCCCCCAACCACTTCCTTCAGCCTCCCTCCTCCATGAGACCCACCCCACCGGGCCCACAACACTGCCCGCACCGCCACTCTGACCTCGGGGCCAGCAGGGGGCTCCACTGTGACCTAGGCCCCACCCTTCTTGGGGACTCAGGAACACCACTCCACCGACGCACACCGGCCCCTCTTCCCCCACTGCAGCCGAGCCCCGTGCCAGGCTTCCAACGCGCTCTTATCTTAGAACATCCTAATCTTCAAACACGCACGCTCCTCCGGGCCACGCCCCCCACGCGTGCGCCTCTGGGCCACGCCCCCTCCAGCCGAGGCACCGTTTCCTGCTTTGCAGCTAAACTCCAGGAGTCGCTTCTTGCTGTCGCCGCGTCCTCTCCCGTGCTCTCCTGAGCCAGCTGTCCGGCTTCATCGCACTGGTTCTTGTCCAAGACTCCAATGGTGCCCAGCTTCCTGAGTCCGCCGGACTCAGTCACCTTCCAGTGCCCACGGACCCCGTCATCGGCAGCATGTGACGTGGTCCCTCATCTCTCCTTGACACTGTCTTCGTGTGGCTCCCACGACACTCTCTGTCCCGGGCTCCTCCTGCCCGGCTGGTTGTCCCTCCCCACTTCCAGACCCCAAACAGGGGTCCTGCTGTCTCCTCTTCCGCACCCACTCCCTGGGGGATGTCATCCAGACTCCTGGCTTGAAACACAGTATCCAAGCCAAAGACTCCAACTGGCCATCGCTGCCCAGTGCTCTCTCCCGCTTCCCAGACTCACTGTTCCACCACCGCCCCCGACCTCCCCAGGTGCCTGCTCCCTCCCCGGCCCCCCACCTCAGTGTATGAGAACACATCCCCGGGGACCCACCGCAGCTCAACCCAAGCCCCACACCCACACACAGGGTGCCAGAAAGTGCTGCCTGGGCTCCTTCCAGAACCGAGTCCTGTCTCACCCCTCCTCAGCTGGACATCCTCCCCGCTCCCCCCGGCCTGCCCTCGGCTCTGGCCTGCAATGTTGCCACAGCCTCCTAGCTGCTCTCCTGCTTCTGCCCTAGCCCCCATCCTGACTCAGCAGCCAGGGCCATCCTGTTAAGATAAATGTTCCGTGGCGTCGGTCTGCTCAGGTTCTCCGTGGCTTCCCCCTCCCTCAGAGTCCACCTCCAAGTCCTTATGAGACCCACAGGCCCTCTGCCATCTTCCCAGCTTTGCTTCATATCAGACTACTCTTGTTTGCCGCTCCACTGCAGTCACCCTCACCTCCCTGCGTGAACACACCAGGCATGTATCTGCCTCAGGACCTTTGCCCTGGCTATTCACGCCGCCCAGAGCCCTCTTTCCCCAGATATTCTCAACACTAGCTTCCCCTGGTCGGCAGAACGGTAGACCCCAAAGATGTCACATCTTAATCTCCTTAACCTATGAATATGCTACCTTCACGGCAAAGGGGACTTTGTAGATGTGAGTAAATTAAGAACCTCGAGACAGAGAGATGATTATCCTGGCTCCAGTGCAATCACAGGTCCTTCTTTTTTTTTTTTTTAATTTTTTTTTAACGTTTATTTATTTTTGAGACAGAGAGAGACAGAGCATGAATGGGGGAGGATCAGAGAGAGGGAGACACAGAATCTGAAACAGGCCCAGGCTCTGAGCTGTCAGCACAGAGCCCGACGTGGGGCTCGAACTCACGAACTGCCAAATCATGACCTGAGCCAAAGTCAGATGCTCAACCAAATGAGCCACCCAGGCGCCCCCACAGGTCCTTCTTTTTAAGAGGGAGGCAAGGAGGGTCAGGGTCAGACCGGGATCGGAAGCGTGCTACACTGCTGGCTTTGAAGATGGAGGGGCCATGACCCAAGGAAGGTGGCAGCTTCTAGAACTAGGATACCACTGTGCCCTCCCTGACATGCAGACAGGGACACTGAGGTCCAAGTAGGGCAGGAAGTGCCTGGACGCTTTCCCTCATGGGACTCTCTTGCCTTTTGGGTTCCTTGGCCCCACGTCCCCAGCTCTCCCTCCTTACCACACGGCACCCTGGAGGCCTCAGCTGTCTCTTCCACTGCCCTGGGTGATCTGCGTCCCCTCTTCAGAGCTGACCAGTTCCGGGTGCCCTTCCCTAGGAGCCAGTCAAATCGGAGGCTGCTGGACCAGCCCCGCCCAGCCCCGCCCCCCGGGCGCTCCCAGCAATGCCACGAGAGCCTGGTGTGTTCCACTGGGCCTTTGCAGGTCCCTCGCCCACCTGTGCCCCAAGCATGGGAGACATGCTTTCCTGGCCAAAAGGTGCGTCCCCCTGTTCCACGGGACACTGAGCCCCCTGTGAGGTGGGTGGTATTACCTTTAGGGGAGGAAAGTGAACTCACCAGCAGCCCTCCCACGTTCCCTGCCGGGTTCTGTGGCACCTTCCAGTGTCCATTTCTCAGCCGAGAACAAGAATGATGGTAACTTTAAATACAAAGCAGCCAGTCCTCTTCCCAGCAAAACGAGCTTGTTTGGGAGGTGGAGGAACCAAGCTCA